TGATCGTCTCTCCGATAGAGCCGACCCACAAAGATGGACCAGAAAGGTATCGATCGGGCCCGCCTGGAGCACGTAATCTCGTCCGTGCCTCGGGGGTCATCCCCGAGGATCTGAAGTTCGAGGGATGGAGACGAACGGACGAAACAACGAATACGGCAGACGCCGTGTATGCACGTACGTGCGTGCGCGGCGTCTGGGTCTGCGCCCTCCACCGCGCTCGTGGATCGTATGCATCGAAATACGAACGGATCCGTCGATTGCAATCCGAGGTGGTATTTTTTTTTGCCGTGCTTTAACGGTGAAGAAATGGAGACCGCAGATCGTCGACGATCGGTTTTGCAATTTCGTCGGAGCTCGATCCGCGAGAATAAAAAATGGACTCATCCCGAGTCGTTCCTTCGACGTCCGGTCGAGAAATAAACATATTCGATCGGAATTTTGGTGTCTCGTGGTCGCATCAGTGGTATTAGAATTAAAATTTGGCCGCCTTGGTGTCGCGAGGCGATCGGAAGCTTCTGGCAAAAAAAACACTCTTTTTTTCAAAGGGTCCTATAGTCCTGTTGGCCTATTTGTAGAGAGCATCCCGATTTTGACCCAATGCACGGTTATGCTTATTGCCGACGGGCGATCGACTCCAAATGTTTGCTTACGTTGACATATCAGGAAAAGAGAGAAAAAAAAACGATTTTGCTTCCAAAGTGGGTCTTAAAATGCATGGAATCGTTTCCCGAGCGAAGAGGCAGGCGGACACGTGAAGACTTCTGTGCATCTGCGCGTTACATCTAGCACACGTAATATGAACTATGATCATCATTACACCCCAAGTCGATCTTCACGTTGAAGTCGGGGGCGAAGCACATGTACTGTGCTGTGTCCTCGACTGTGGAGAACATTCTCTTAGAGTGGTATATTGCAATCGAAGATTAAAGTTATGTAATAGGCACCGCGCTCGTAATTACGTAGCTTAGAATATCATATCATGCAACATGAAAGTTCTTACCCATAGAAACCTCCCTCAAATCCGAACAGATCGATCAGTTTTCTCTTTCTGTTGGTTGGTTGGTTTTTTTGGTTTCTTTCGAACCTGAAGAAATCAGGGCGTGGTGGATGGTCAGATTTTCGTTGAGTTTACACCGTTCCGTCTAAAACACGGCTTCGGCTTTCTTTACTGTAATTGAAGTTTTCTGAAGTTCGGTTATTTGGTGATTGGAGGGGAGTGTATCAGAATACCAGAAAATTCCATTGTTAGAATTTTGGCCAGGAAAATGGGCTTTCGTCCCATCGTGCAGCGGTGAGACAAATACCATCACTTGAGAACCTTCCGGATGGGCTAAGAGTAATCCCTGGATCATCTCTTTTGGGCAAACATTGATGTCGCTCTGTATAAGAATGGGGACGATATACACGAAGGGCGATGGATTAACACTAACCCTTCTCGGACCTCCAGTCGGACTTCTTCAGAATATTTTAAAGATATTGACATTAATTGCCCAAGTGCTGTACCCCAAGAACGTCCGCATGATGCACATCCAGGATGTGCAACTATTCTCTTGCCCTTCCTTTCCAATATTTCAGTATTTCGAAGAGTACTTGCCTTGCTTAATATACAGGATTTCCCGTAAGTCGCAATAGCATTTCAAACTGCAGCAAGCAGGTTTAGCACTGTCGCTTGCATCGATGAAAAGAAAGTTCTTCAGAATCCTTTTCCACCATGATTTGGAATCAGACTCAAACGGAAGTACTTTAAATACATGTGAGAAAAGTGGGCAATTAACGTTACACCTTGAATTCTCTACTACAAAATTGTTGAACTTAATATTTTCCTCACCTAATTTCAGAGACTTGAAAAAAACTTTTACTTCAAGTTTTGTTTCGCTATCATGAGAAATAGTTTCACAATTGACGCTGAAGCAATGAAGAAAAGTCACCTGGATGGAGGTCTTTGAGAGTCCCATCAGAGTTCTGAGGGAGCCTCGTCGAATGTATTGATGTAGGCGGAGGGTATTTTGAAGCACTTTCAAAACTAAAATATTTCCTTATTTGACAAAGATAATTCCATATGACACGCTATCGTCCAGTTTCAGTTCTTTTTTTATGCCAAACGTTTAGTAGATGTGACTTTCTGAAGTGGCATAGTGACATACTGGACACTCTGTACTTGGTATAATAATGAAATCTAGTCACGAGTGCGAATAACAAGCAACGCCGTACTTTATCCATGATTGGGGGGAGGGGTGCTAAGCAAAGGTTCCGAGGAGAAAAAAAAAAATCCTCCAAGGGCTCTTGGCACTTCAAGGGCAGCCAGGGTGCACCCCGTACAATACGCCACCGAGCAACAGACGAGGTGAAAGTTATCGCCCAGTTCATCACAAATTTCTTCCGTCAATCAAGGACACATTGCATCGAGGGGGTCTTGTAATCGCTTCCATGTCTCACCAGCACAGGAAAGACCACGGCCAATTCAACTAAGAATTAAGATCTATTAGGAAATGACGTTTAAGGGTTTACATGACTTCCCTTTTCCACCCATATCGATGATCCACGATTCAGAAACCATTCATTTGTTCCAGACGCGACCGTGACTATCGACAGGTGCAGCTGCAATGGGTCTACGCCATGGGTTGGCATTCATAAATACTTTTATTATAAATACAGCAACCTTCAGTATCAAAATTAAAGCATCCATATTGGAAAAGGCAGTCTGCAACATCCATGCCTTCCAATTTTCTTCTCGTTCCTTGCTTCTGAGAAATAAAAAACCTGCAGCAGCCACAACACGTTCTCAAACAACTTGAGAACAAAAAACTTAAGTACAAAAAATGTTTCAATGGGAGGGAAAAAAAACTTGAATGTCATTCTCGCACGATTGTGCAAAAAAACACACGGGAGGAGGTGATAACACCTCAGGTTAGGTCAGAGGAGGGTTTAAAAACCTACTGCAAAAAGAAAAGGTGAAAGTATAGAGAAAAGAGTTTAGAGGAGAGCTTTCAGAGTCCTTCCAGAGAACGTCGCAAAAAATATATATATAAAAGTAATACAAAATATAATTCCTTTAAAAAAAAACCGTGAATCCGTCACGAGAAAACGCAGGTTCACAATCTTAGCTGCCGTTCTTTGGTCATGTGCTCTTTTATCGCTCGTTTTAGAAAACGGGCGATTCTCGCGTGCTCATGTGTGCGAGTAGACGAGAGCAGCAGTGAAGAGAAGGGAAAGAAGAAACAAGAGGAGGTGGTTTCGTCAAGCAGAATTTTTAATGAAACAGGAAGAGAAAGGGGGAAGGGGAAAAAAAAACAAGAGATGGAATTTTTTTTTTCCCAGAAAAGCGAGAGCTTGGAGGGAAACAAAGATGAGAAAAAAGGAGGCAGGGTGTTTTTGCTTCACAAGTTGGAGGTCAGACAAGTATCATTCGAGAGGCATTGTTTTTTTTTTCCATTTCATACGATGCAAAAAATAAGGTGCAATTGTGTGGTCTCTCCTTGCACGGATGCAAAATAAGAAGTTCTTTCATCTTTTTCTTTAAGTTGGTGAGAAACATGTACAGGTGAGAGGAAAAAGAGTGCAGGATTTCCTATATACACTGCGGAAAGATTGGGGAGAAGTAAGGCCGAGACACGCATTATCTCAAGAATGGGAAAAAGTGAAGCAAGACGTGCAATAAATGGTAGGTAAAAGATGGAGTGAGGAAAAGAAGCAAAAAAAATTCTATACAGGACAGAGACAAAGACAGTGACAGCAATAGTGTACAAGAGGAGCGAACAGGAAGTTAGTTAAGGAGAAGATACAATATTCACAATATGTGAAAAAATCAGGGGAGATGGAAAAACAACCGTTCCTTCGCACACACCAATGAATTTCCCCAGAAACCCAAGCATCAGAATTCCTCGCTGTTTTTTTTTTTCCATTTTCCTGCTTTTGCATAAGGAGCGCATCAAACAACCAACAGCATGACAATCGGGGCAATCATGATCATGATTCATAAGGCCTCAGAAATCATCACCTGATACACAAAGGAAAAATCCGTCAACAAAGGAGCACAACTTCCAAAAAATTTAAGCTATTAAACAATTTTCCAACATCTGCATCACATAAACATCAACAAGTGGATGGATCAGAATGACACCCATAACCCAGATTCTTTTTGTCTGAATACTTTTCAAAACGAATCTTTATTGTTTTGTTATCACTTACTTTTCAGGATTGATTAACAAAAGAGAGGGAGAGGACAAAAAGGAGAAAATCCCAGCCTTAGGTCTGAGTTCTTCGATATGTCAAATAGGGGATTCAATTAATTTTTCTCAACTAGGTCACATCTAAGACACCGAATACTCCCTTCCTAAGGCCTACAGATTCCATGAGAAAATAGGCATCATATGAATTGTATCCCTCCTCATGTCAGAGTTTTGTTTCATAATACTAAGACTTTGGCCCACCTGGTTACCAGATGATAAAGCACATGGAAATCACCAGTTTCCCAAATATTCCAGAGATAGACACAAAGGTAGGAAACGAATGATTCAAACCTGCAAAAGGAAAATTTCTTCTGCAGGCCTCCCCTTTTTTTGTAGCTACTGACACGAGATTCACAGTCATACAAAAGGAGTGTTCTAGGCTTATAAGGGGAAGGGGGAAATACAAGACTGTCACACAATATTGTGTCCGATTGCGCCAAAATTTCCTTTGTACGTTGAGAATTTTTGCAGATACACACAGATGAGAAGAGGGGGAGCATCCACAAAGATGATTTTTTTGTTAAGGAAAGAACTGAGCCCGTGTCTTGGAGGACTTTTTTGTCACAATTCACGTCACTGTACAAGCCCACTCTCCGTCTTTCAGTCATGATCTTTGGTGTCAAAAGTCGTGCACAAATCCACTCACCCTCAACTCCCTTTGCATGCAGCCATAGTAAAAAACGATGCAGGAATTGTAATCTCTCTCTCTTTCTCTCATGCAATCCAATCATTCGATCCGGCCCTGGCAATTCTGAGTCGAGAGCTGATGATTCAGTTGATGACTGATTTGGAGAAGGAAACGCGGAGGTGGTTGGTATCACTCAGTTGGTGATTGTGCATCTTTATCAAAGCTAGGATGGCCTCCTCAACTGAGGACAGTTGAATCAGGGCCATCCGCCGGTCATTAGGGAAGAACTTGAAATCCTTGACCTGAAACCCTGCCTGAGTGAAGGCCTCCTTGAGGTCATCCTCCCCAACGCTTGGTGGAATGTTGGACAAGTGCAATGTGGATGATGGTGCATGGATGTTCTGATAATTTTTTGAACCTGGGCGCTTGAACCGATGCAGCGGGGAATTGGAATAGTCCTTGGTGAGTTCAGCTGCATCGGCCTGGCCCTCCTTCGGCATCTGGACCTGCTGGTGTTTCGATGGCATGACCCGAATCTGTTTGCCCCATAAAATCACCTTGTCCAGGTGGGTCATAGCCAAATGACCCTGATGGGAGTCAGACATTTGGATCAAGGCACTATCTTTCTTGTTGTACAAGATCTTTACTCGTTGGACGTCCCCATAAACACCAAATAGGGTGAAGAGGGCATCTGGGGAGACCTCATTCTCATTGAGGTTTGACACCAGCAGGACATTGCCTGAAATTGTCTGACCTGGGATGCCAAGGGCAGGAATTCCAAGACCTGACAAAGGTCCAGGCAAGGTCATGCCAGCCAAGGGCATCCCACTCAAAGCTCCCATTCCCAAATCAGTCATCATGATCCCTCGACCGGAATCCAGTGCCGGATCCCCTGTTGGGAGATTGGGATTAGTATAATCCCGACTCTTGTCGTTGTTATATTTCACATTCAAGTTGGTCAGCTTGGAGTATTCTATGCGAAGCGTGCAGCAGGCATTGTAGATGTTCTGGCCATCCAAAGTCAGCTTGGCAGCTTGGGCTGTCACTACATCTGGGTACTGAATCAAGGCCTGGAATGTGTTGTTCTTGGTGAAAGTGATGATCTTGAGGACCCGCCCCACTCGGGAGAAAATCTGGTGTAAGACGTCCAGGGTCACAGGGTAGATCATGTGCTCAATCACAACCCTGAGGACAGTATTAGGTCCTCCCTGAGTCTCACTCTGTCCAGCAAGAGCCTGGGCCGCCTGTAAAGCGGCTCGGGCTGCTGCATTCGCATTCGAATGTGTCTGGTCAGTTTTCAGTTCCTTGTGGTTGGAGAACTGCACGTAGACTGTGCGGCCTCGAAGCTGAGCTGCACAGTTGCTGAAGTATGTCACCATAGTGTGCGCAGATGTCTCTTCCCCAAACTCCAGAAATGCCTGGTTCTTTCCCTTAAGTACAAGGACATTGGTGATCCGACCGAAGGGGATGCCGAGGTGAATTACTTCGGCCTCAGTGACCTCATTGGGTATGTTCCGGATGTGGACGACTCGAGACGGCACCGTGTTGATCTGACCATCCACTTTGGGCTTCTTTGCCTCGTTGTTGTTCTCCACATGATTGGCATAGGTGGCCATCATGCCCTGGGCGGCGGCAGCAGCCGCTGCAGCAGCTATTGCGGGCGAACCTCCGATTCCAAGCATTTGATCTGATCCTCGCTTTATTCCTGCAGTAGTGGGCACGGCATGAAGCAGCTCACCGTTCATCATCGGAGCATCGGAACCCTTGGGGGATCTGCCCACATGACAGAAAGGGCACACACACTTTTCACTTCACTATTTCCAAGTCAGTCTCTCTTTTTAACGTACAGCACACTTTTCTTTCTCTCACAGTACACAGATCACTGGAGCAGGTTCTCTTTCACAGAAAGATTGTCTTTGGTCAGGTACTTTTGCATTTTTTCGTTTTTTTTTTTCCTAGTATTTTCTTATAAAAGTGGCAAAGTTCCTTTTTTTTTTTGTTCCCTTTATAGTCTTTGTGTCTTTTTCTATCACAATCACTGGGTTTTGTATGAAGTCCAGACCAGAGCAAAACAAGGGAAAGAGGCTTACCCAGAGCGGAGAAGAGAGTCAGGGAGGAAAGTTCTGTGTGTGTTTGTGGTATTGGGAAAATAAAGAGGAAGGTGGTAGAGCTTCTTTGGCAGTGGGCACAACAGCAGGCAAGCTTTTTTGTCTCGATGGATGGAGAAGTGTTTTTGGTTTTAGAAAGAGGGGAGGCAGAGAACTGAAAGGAGAAAAACCAAAAACAGGAGGAGTTAATCATACAACAAACAGCCAAGGTATAGGTCTATAGGAACAAGTCTGTCAGGCAATATTAAAATAGAATTTTAAAAAATAAAATGAATGGTCCCCGAGAGAGCAGCAGAGGTGAAAGAACAAGGTGGGACAGTGCATTCCCAGAGAGCTGTGCTCTGGCTTTTGAGATGCCAAAAGGGGGAATAAATGGAAAAAGAGTGAAAAGAAAAAAAAAAAAGGGTTCAGCATTTGCTTTACATGGTTTTGCTTTTTCACTCTCTGCCACTTCACTACACACACACACACGCAACATTGCATTTTGCGTGTCACTTATTCTCATCACAGGTGATCACAGATAAATTGCTGGAAGAGAAGTCACTGTCAGACACATGAAATTGAAGCCCATGATAGGCTTCCATATCTTAGCACTAAGGTACAATGAAGGCAAGAACTCATACTTCGATGCTTTCACAAGATTAATCTTAGGAATTCATATTGGAAAAAATGTAATACATTCCAAAATACTACCAAAAGAATGCATTCACCAAAAAAAATTAACCACAACTGTGATGATCAATCCTTCAAAGTTCCAAGGACAATGACAGCATGCACAAAAGGAATAACCTTTCAACCAAAGGGGTTTTTCATCCATCGTGTCAGATAGAATTTTTTTTTACTCTTATAAACCTGCATATGCTCTAAATGACCAAAGATCTTTGAATTACTTCATGTAACTAAGGTCTCCATAAACATTTGTACCAAAATGTAACTAAGATAGTCAACCTAGAGCATTAAGTATCTGAATGAATATCCAAGAAAAGGTTAATTTAAAAAATCATATTAACTAAAACACCTTTGAATACTACTAGTCAGAATCATGCTGTAAACTAACGTCATGAAGTACAAATTATTAACTGGCACAATAGTCTTGAAAAAGAATCATGCTAAAAGCGCCCAGAAAATAAACCAAGTTTTCAAGAGGATCAAGTAAATTTAATAAGGAAATGAGCTTGGTCTAAGCAAAGATTAAGCATGATACCATTCAAGCACATATGATTAGGTAAAAAGAGAGGATGAAAGGAAGGAAAAGAGCGCACCTGTCCCTGAACAGACACACACACTTGCAGAAGGGGGCTCAGTCTTTCCCAATTCGTGCCAGAGAGATTGATTGTTGATGGGAATGGTGGAAATTGAAAAATCACAAGGGGGGAAGTAACCAAAGCTAAGGAATCTGCATGAGAGAGGAAAAGACATGTCAACATCACACAAAAAAGAAGAGAAGCCAGATTCCCTAGTGCCTCCAACTGTTCCAAATCAAAGTTGAAATGGAAAACAAAGGATAATTAGTAGTGCTGAAAGAGTCAGGTGTAGCCACAGAGATAAAACACATACATGAAGAACAGAACTGGGCTTAGATTATGCTTAGTCATAATACTATGCAGAACATGGCTGATGGACCAAAGAAGACTGCATGAGGTACAGTCAGGAGTGCATTCATGTGCAATCCCAGTCCACACTTGAGTTCTAGGAACTTCTAACAATGGATGCTTCCAGTAAATTTTGATTTGAAGAGGGATGAATGCAGGTGACTCCTAGGAGAGAAGACTTTATTAGGTCACAACAGAGAGGGAGAGCAGACCACCTCAGTTACTAGCTGGAGGAAACAAGTCGCATCGGCACTTGAATGAAAAAGTAGAAGAGAGGGGAGAGGAAAAATCAGGAGTAGTGAGGATGGGGAAGAGATGAATGGTTAGGCTAGGAGAAGAACCCACACAAGATCTGACCTTTTTTTCCCCAATTCTTTCTCTTCTTCGCCCCCCCTATAAATAGAGCTCCTCCAGCAAATAAACATTTATGTTGCATGCATCAAGACCTCATGGGGAATGCCCTTAAACAAAGAACCAAGGAGGAGGAGGAAAGAGGAAAGCAGCCCCAGTGTGAGTTTGTGTGGAAAAGACTCTAAATTTATACCATGAAATAAACAAGACCGAAGGGAGGGAGGGAAGAGCTGCATGTGAGAGAGAGGGAGGCATAAATACAGGTACGAACGAACAGATATACATACGTTTTCATGGGCCATACCTGGATGGATCCAAGTGCAAAGCAGATGCCATCCTGATCCTGTTCCATCCTGTCCTGAGTGAGAGACATTTGTCATTCCCCTGCCTTTTTCTGTCCTGTCCATTAGAGATCCATTACGCACACCTGCCCAGGGCACCTCCATCTAGCATCATTCCTCTTTCATATTGCTTAAAGTACTTTCTTTCCTAGCCATAATGCCAAGCATTCATGGAAGATAATGCATGAATGCTGGCTAGTAAAATATATTTTTATAAATCTATGTTCCGTTGAAGTGGGGGAAATGTTCTTTTCCATGAGGATAAAATTATTTTGCCCAATAATTTCCCACAACTGCTTTTACTTCCTGGTTCCAACTTACAGAAAATACACCTATATGTAGGTCAGGTCCCTTGAAATATGTTTAAGTCAACTGCCAAATTCCCCCTATGTTTCACCTCCTGTCTTTTACCTCCCATGCCTCTGGGCAGGTATGGAAATCCTGAATCCTGAGGCCCGAAGTGAGATCCTCTGCCGCAATGCAATCCAATGAGAAATCCTAATCCTTCCACGAGAGATCCTTCCATCCTTAGTCCTGATCCTTTTTCCAATCCAGCTCCCTCTCTCCACTTGACACCAAAAAAGACAGAAACCCACAATATCAATCTCTCTCCTAGCAGTGCACCCACAAGTCACTATTTCAATCATTGATAGACAGACACATGTGTATTGGGAAGAAACCAGGACTCATCATTATCGGTACTCTCCTCATCTACATGAGCAAAATGAAAGAAACCCAGAAATTTTCTCCACCCAGAGGGAACTGAGACAAGATAGAAAAAATTATATCAGAAGACAATGGCACACATATGCACCTTGGCATAATGCCCCGCAAGAAATAGGAGGGAGTGCATGAGTGTCATCCTCAGTTGTAGGAATCCCTAGATCCGGATCGAGATCGGGAATGGGAGCGACGCATGGGTGAATAAGTTGGGGAGCTGCGCTTCTGTCGAGGCGAATAGGAACGAGAGCGAGATCGGCGTGTTGACACTCTGCCATCACTTCCTCCACCGTGATCTTCCTTCACTCGAATATAAGCTACCTCACCCTGGATTGAGCAAATTGAAAATCAAAGAAAATAAGACATCAAAATTGTAAAAACTATAAAAGGTAAGTGACATGGGAACAAGCAATGGAATGATAAATTAATGACAATGCTTAATTAAGTAATGGTTTGTGTGAACATCAAATTTTTTATATATTATTTTTTAAATAATTTGAATGCAGTTTGGAACAGGGCAAGTGATACAAATTCCAACCCCCTTAAGCTTAAAATCTGTTCCCTTACCTATGTTTGGAAAATGATGGTTTTTGGATCTATACCATTCGAAAGAAAACTGCATTCAGTCCATTCTTGTTTTAAGATCAGAAATTAGTGTAATTTTGATGAAAGGAGCCATTTGGACTTTTGGGGAATTATGTAATCCAAGCCATTGGTTAAATAGTACAAAATGAAAATTCAACTCCACACTGTGTCTGTACATCCTTTCATGCAAAAATCACTTTTAGATGGAGAAAATATCCAAGGAAAAAAAAATTAATTGCAAAAAAGTATTAACAGCCAGCCTGTCAAGTGACACCAACATCAGTATGAGGGCTGGTGTACAAGTATGAAAGGGAATTACTGTCACATATTGGTAACTCCCTTGGAAACCAGCAAAAGACTCAGCCAAGTGATTTGCTGTATGTTCACTTTCAAAAAAGTCATTTTAAAAGTCACAGTAGACACATTGAAATAATTAAACTGTGGCAGTAAAAAAATTTCTATAAGCAAATACATTCTCTCAAATTTGATTGGATACCTGGTACTTATTGGCACTGAATTTAACCCCCAAAACATGGACACTATATGGTTCCTGTTTACAGAGCAGGAAAACTGGGAATGCAACAAGCTTTGTATTCATCTGCTGAATACATTATTTAAATATTTTAAATTCAGATCATCTCTTGACTTATGGAGATAGTTACTCAAGCAACTGGTAAACTGGCAATCATAGATTTTAAATCTAACTAAGAAACATCACTGAACTCACAGAAAAGAATAATGCCAAATATTACCAATCATCTGAACACATGGTAACATAATGTGTAAGGCATCTAATATATATAGATGATCATGACTGACTGACTGACGCTAGTTTGAACCATGTTCAAGAAAAGTTAGAAATCTGAAACTTGGGACAAATGTACCTGTTGGGATGCAGAGTTCATTAAAAAAAATCCAACTTTGGAGGTACATGCCTTCAGGGCACCCATTTTGGGAGATGTTTTCAATTATATATATTTGCTTCAGTCAAATGGAGACATGGAAAATGAAACTTGGCATGGATGTGCCTACTGAGACACAAATTTCATGGAAAATGTCAACTTTCAGATGCATGCCCTGGGGGCATACTTTTGGGTGGTGACGTTTTCAAATAATTTTTTTTTTTCCTAATGAATTGGCCAGAGATAGAAAGGTGAGACTTGATACATAAGTACCTTTTCAGAATCTGAATTCATAAAAATTCAGGTTTTGGAGGTAAATGCCCCAGGGGCACAATTTTCAGGGGAAGATATTAGGTTGGTGCAAAAATAATTGCGGTTTTTGTTATTCCAAACTTTGATGCTTATTCTGGAATAAACTTTCATTTAACTATGTTCATGCAATATACCATGTTAAAGCGCAGTATTCGCTCTACTGATTTATGCTAATGGTTTGTTTTCGCTGTTTATTCTTGTTTATTTTAGGCTGTGATATTAAAGATGGAAAAAAAGCAAAAACTTCCTGCAAGAGAAAGTTTTTAACAACCAAGCAGCAGCTCAAAACGCCTTCGAAGAATTCATCGGTTCCAGGACTCCAGAATTCTATGCTACCGGAATAAATAGACTTGTTTCTTGTTGGCAAAAGTGCGTAGATTCTAATGGTTCTTATTTCGATTAATAAACTTTATTCTAAGCTGAGATATACTGCTTTAAAGTTGATGGTCAAAAATCGCAATTATTTTTGCACCAACCTAATATTTTCCAATTTTTTTTTTTTGCTTCAGTCAAACGGATAAACATGGAAAGCTGAAATGTGACATGGATGTACCTACCGAGACTCTGAGTTCAGGAAAAATGTCAAGTTTTGGATGCATGCCCTGGGGACATATATTTTTTAAAAGGTGCTTTTTCTGGAAACTTTTCTGATTCAATGAAGGAGAGAACTAAAGAAACTTGAAACTTTGAGCAGTAGTACCTGTTCGATTGCCGAGTACATGTCCTACTTTTAAAATATGACCCATCAGGGCAGATTATGAAGAGATTTGAAGCTAGGCACACAAGAAAGTGCGAGTAATTATTCCAATTAAAATATCGGTTTGTTCTCTCTCAAAACACTTTCCAATGGGCACATACTTTTAATAGGTATTTTCCAATTTGAAAATAAATTATTGAATGAATCATTATCCTGGTAATGGAGCGCTGAAGGTGTGACAAGGTGCACCGAAGGTGCTAGTTAAAAAATATTCTTTTAAGAACTATGTGGCAGCTCCTGTTTTTATTATTTTAAATTGCAGGAAGTATCACAAGAAGACCATGCCAATAAGGGAATCACCCAGAAATGGTCACAAGCCACAAATGCTCATAGTTTTGCCTACCATATCCCAAATTCACCCATACCACATCTTACTGTGTCATGATACAAGAATGCATGGTTGTAATTATTGATCCATCGTTTTGAGCTATTTCAGATTCACTGAATGTGTCATGACTTACCTATGCATGCAACTGTAAACACACCAAAATGCCAGTGTCTAAGCATATTCACCTGGCATAGATTATCCCCATAACCCAGCATGATAGTTTCAGATAGAGAAAAATACTGGAAAAAACAAAACCCATTAGTAGGGAAGACCAAGATGTGAAACCACTTAAAAAAACAGATTGAAAATCAAGATGCTTGTGCAAAGTGTGTTCACATCCGACTAGTGCCCAAACTCCAAGTTGCACCTCAGGCATGATGGATCATGAGGGTGGAACATAGAAACATCAATAAAGCAGGTTATTCCATCATGATAGTCAAGTACATTTTCATCTCACACAACTTGCAAGTAGTCAAGACAAGGCCAAATAGCCAAATTTATATTCCATAGCTTTTAGACAATGCCATAGAGACTGAACTCTAGTTACATGAATGGGATTTTTTCTCCAACAAAAATGCGTTACACAAAGGACAGTTAAATGTTACTATTGCTTCTTACAATAGTCCCAGAGCCATAAGTAATGGACCATATTTACTCAGGACAAAGTCTATATTGAGGTGGACAAATGTGAAGGCACATGACTATCCAGTACATAATCAAACTCCTGACAATATGTTAAGCTCATTACATAATTCCAAGTGGAAGTATATATCTCATTCAAGAGCAACATTTAACCCCTCAACCATGGATTAATTTCAGATCCTTTCAGGTTTTTTTATTTATTTAAAAAATTTAACATTTAGTTTGAAAATATTGTACAGGTCAGTCATTTCCATACTGATTGACAAATGTGAATTTTCAATCCTTCAACACCATCACCTCTTACTCTAGGTAGCAGTTATAAGTTCTTAACTGTGTTGTAAGTTGGAATCAGATGACACTCATACACAGTTAACACTGTCAAGAGGTTAAAACAGCCAAACATATTAAATGCTTTATTAATTACCTAATTAATTGTTTTTTACAAGGAGGATTAGCCTTTGAAACCTGAGCCATGTCAACAAGGGACAGAAGCATGAAAATTAAACAGACCTCATGAGACCGGAACTTGGAGTCATCCAACTTTCGAACAGCATATTTCATATCCTCAGAACGCAGGAACTCGACAACTCCGGTTCCGTCTCTGTAGACATCAGCAAAGCAGACATCTCCAGCCTCTCGCATGTGGTCTTTTAGGTCTTGCCAGCTCCCTGATGGTGGCAACCCTATTGGCAAAAAACCAAGACTCAAATCATTCTTATTGGCAACCAACACTCTCAAGTAAACAATGCATCCCTCTACAACATGCAAGAATATTGTATATAAGTATCTAATATCTCCAATCTTCATGAAAAATAATTTTAAAAAACTGCAAGGCATCAGGTCTTGAAAAACATTTCCACACTATATAGGTACTGTTCTCTCATTGGTTCCTATTGTTTGAAGAGAGCAAAAATCATCCTTGTCAAATGGTATGAAATAAAGATAAATACAGGGTGATTCTTTCGTGTTAGTACCCTAAAAAACGTGAATAACTCAGGCAGGGTACTAAAACGAAAGAATCACCCTGTACAATGCCAACACTGTCTGAAAGGAAACATCAGTTCCCTCACACTGGCCAGCTTTGTCAATTTGACAAAAAAAAAATTGCTGATTAAACTGAATGATTGAACCTGTGCCAGATGACTATGACCAAGTTTACTTGTGGGGCCACATACAAAAAATATATTCCAAATCACAATGGGAAAGAAACTAGAAAATTTTTTTTGTTCAGTAAGAACTTCTTATGCACACCTAATAAATTGAAACGTTTTTGTTTAGCAGCATCAGCCTTCCACATCAGACAATTGTAAAAAAAAAAAAAAAAAAAAAAAGAATTGCCATCTTTAAATACTACAGAAAGATAATATTAACCTTAATAGATTTTAAAGCACAAAAATATAGTATTTAAAGCTTCAAGGATCCCATCAATGAACATTCCAAATTAACTACAATATACCTGACGTAGGTCCCACACCTCAAACTGAATTCAATCAAGTGAAACTAACCAGAGATAAGAATTCGGTATTGAGATCTCCGGGCTGGAGGGCCTCGCCCTCGACCAACAGACCTTCTTGGTCCTGCTCCTCTTGGAAATTCTACACGAAGCTTGTACCCATCATAGTCATAGCCATCACGACCACTGACTGCATCTTCTGCATCCCTGGGGTCATAAAACAAAAAATGTCATTCTCATTCCTGAACAGATACTAAGTGCCAAGCTGGAATGGAAGCATTTATTCCTTAAAGGTGGCAGTCAAGTGTGACAGCTCATACACCATTATATTCACCACAAACAGTCCCCTCTCCCCTCCCCCCCTTGAGAGCACTCAGGTAGAACAGGATGCTGAATCACCCCTGAGAGGATCACAGATTTTCTTGGGCCTCAGGGGAATGAAGGTGGAAAGGACAATAGAGATAGGGAAGAAAAAACTGCTGACAGGTAGTGTGAGACAAGCAGTGAGAGTACCAACAGTTCACTCTAAAATTTACAGGGGTCCTTGAATGCCAACTTGTCAAGACATTAAATCAGCACTAATGCATGAATCCTAAAAACAGCTATTCCTAACCATCTCACATACCTACATCTTGTGTTGGAAGAAATTAATCAAAGAAAACACAAACTCCAGGCGTGCCCCAACACTCAAATTAACCATGGAATGAATATGAAGGGAGAACATTGTAGCTGGGTAAGTAGCCACTCCCTTTTCCAGCTCATGAAATGAAGAGGGGGATACCATCAGCGAGGGCAAGTTGTTCCGATATTAAATCCAGTCAAATGAAAATTGTGGCATGCCCGCAGACGATACGGAAACAGGAGGAATTGAGTAAGGATGACAAAAAGCCAATGACATCATGGATCAACATGACACGAAAGAGGTGAGTCATTGGTCAAAACGCGCCTGTGCAAGCAAGCCAAATGTGGCTCTCATTATCAAGGACTAGACCTAAGCCTGTGTATGTGGTGCGTGCGTGCGTGCGTGTGGTGGGGGGGGGGGGGGGGGGGCGGGGGGGGGGGAGATGTTTGTATGACCAGAAATTACGGAAGGCTTATAGAAGTGCGTGTTGCATCCCAGTGGTATGCAACACGCCTTAACTAATTTTTTTTCCTTCCGATTTTTAACCCAATCATTTTCATGGTCAAGGGCGACTATCCCTGGGAGCTTACATGGAGGTGGGGCTCATTTCCATCTCGTCCGGTTCCCCTTTCATTCACACAACCTACATCCTGATTCTGCAGGCCAGATAAGTCCAGGCATATTCTGTGCCGAAGGCAGAAGTACGGCGTGTAGTGAAAGAGGAATGGGCATTTCATAATTCCAAGATAACAAAGAGGCTTGCACCCCATCGATTTTCCCTTGTTTCTTTCTTTGCGAGGGCCCAGGATATAATAATGGAGTCACGACGTGACATTGGCTCGGACTCACCTGGGGTCGTCAAACTCGACGAAGGCGAAGGGGGGTCCACGCTTATTCTTCAGGTCCACAAAGTTGATTTTCCCGTAGCGATAAAAGAGATCCTCGATGTCTTTGCTTCGGATGTCGGGCGGGAGATTCCCTACATAGATGCGACTCTCGTTCCTCGACATCCTCCTTTCGACCTAACTGTGAGACCATAAAAAGGCAAGGAAGGTGATAGGCTCCCGGAGACGACATGCATCTCTCCTCACACAGACAAACGCAACCTCATTCTGTACGGCCAAGGGTTGGGGAGAGGAAAATAAAAAAAAGCGGCAAGCCGGAATGCGTGTTGACCTCCCCGCCATTCTGCACGCCTGAGACGAAGAAAAGAGAGGCGAAGGGGGGAATGTGAGAGGGAACTTCCTCTGCTTCGCCGATCCCCCTTCCTCTCTCCTTCAAGCCCCAGGGCTCATACACACATTCCTGTTGATGCCATTGACCAGCTGCCGCCTTGCTCGAGACGGACAATCGATTCGAGGTGTTCCCTTCCCAGGTAGAGCACGCAGACCCACCGCTTTCCCTTTCCCCATCAACCATACCCATTCCGTCTGACCTAGGCCTATCATGCACGAAAGGGGAGGGATGAGAACCCCAGCCTGCGCCTTCATCGCTCATGCTCGGCCAGAAAACGAGTTTCCTTGTTCCGTCTGCTCCCTTCCCGACATGCCGCTCTGTCTGGAACCACACAACGCCCTTTGCTCATACTAAGGCCTACTCAGTTCTCGGAAATCGGACCCGGTCCACATCGACGCCACCGCCAGAGAATCGAGTAATCAGAATGACTTCATACATTTCACGGTACGAAAATGAACGACGCAAAAGACAAAAGTTGACAGGGCAGGCGACGCCCATAACCATGAAAATGATTGGGTTAAAAATCGGAAGGAAAAAAAATTAGTTAAGGCGTGTTGCATACCACTGGGATGCAACACGCACTTCTATAAGCCTTCCGTAATTTCTGGTCATACAAACAGATAACCTATCCCCGGCGTCACCAACATTAGGCTAGTACGACACTTTCAAGAACACTTGGCGCAGCCATTGAGGTAGACTGCTCGTAGGCCAAGTCTCACGTTAAGAGCAGGCGAAGGTGCATCCTTGGTCCATGACTCCGAGAACATTGCGGGTGCTGCTTAGGCCTAGGGTTTGCGTATGACTCAGCTACGAATGAACATGACGCTGGGTTAGGCCTACATCTTAGGCCTGTACATCCGTTTCACTATCTGCTCAAGGAGACCCAGCCCTTATCCGAGCCAAAAGAAAAACGCAAAACGCTCAATGCACAAGATATTTGCCGGCACACAGACAACGGCGTCGAGGAAGGGAGCAACTGAAGGAGGCGAGAAGCAGCAAGATCATTCTCACACAGGAGTCAACGAACGTGAGCGAAAGAGAGAGAACAGGCGATGCTGCGTGTCCGCCTAACAATGCACTGTGGCGCGCAAGCACGCGATGACGTCACACGGAAAAGTCCGATGAAGCCCGAGAGGACTCCGTCGGAGGACTCCGGCCTATAGGCCAATAGGAGCGCTGGAGAAAACCGCTCGCTTCTTGTCATGTGCAGACCCTCCATCCAGTCCCATCCCATTTTCCAGTGTAGGAGTGAACTTGTGACCCTGACTGAAAAAGAAAGGTATTAGGTCTGCTGGGGACCCAGTTATAGAAGATTATCCCAAATTTTCCCCTTGCCTGTGATACTCTCTCCATTCCACACGTCTAAAGGTGAACACTCATCATATAGCCCTTGACTTCCCATATGTTAAGCCTAACATAGACCAATAATTTTCATTTTACCGCATTGGCCTAGCCTACACTGTTTCTAGTTGTGTGGAGTTTTGTAGTCTTATGATATAGAATCAAGTCGGTCCTATTTTGACATGTTCACAAAGAAGCCAGTTTTGGCACAGGTATAGAATGCTTAGCTGAATTATCTGTTCTGTAATTCATGTTTTCAGTCAATCATGTCTGAGAGGAAGGCAGTCATTAAGAATGCTGACATGTCAGAGGAGATGCAGCAGGATGCAGTGGACGTTGCAAACCAAGCATTGGAGAAATATAACATTGAGAAGGTGAGGAGTTTCAAAATTCTGAGTTTCACCTTATGTTATATCATGATGGCTACAGCAAGATGGTGCTGTGTTGTGAAGCATCCATGATTTACAAATATGTTCATGTTATCAATGTTTCATTGTATGAATGTTCATGCTGTGTAATGTTTTCATCACAGGATATAGCAGCATTCATCAAGAAGGAATTTGACAAGAAGTACAACCCTACCTGGCATTGCATTGTTGGACGAAACTTTGGGAGCTATGTGACACACGAGACACGCCACTTTATCTACTTCTACCTGGGCCAAGTTGCCATTCTTCTCTTCAAGTCTGGCTGAAATTTCCCACCAAAATTGTGCTCTTCCATGAATCACATCACTTGAACCTTGTCTGACACACTTGTGTTCTGGCTTCTAGGCATCTTTCCTATGGATAAAGACAAATCTTCGCATTAAAAGCAAGAGAGTTGCACTGCCTTTGTTTTTCTGTCTCATTGCCATGGCAGCTTACTCAGAATCCCATCTTGCTTGGGAATCTCCACCCCAGTTGCACCCTACTTTGAAGAAAGTCCTTAAAATTAAGGAAAAGCTTTTTCTTGTCCCATGCTTTAATGTGACTGTGTGCCATTATTTCTGGAATCTCTGTCAAAGCAGCTGGCTGATTCAGCTCAATTGTTATGCCCTGGACCATCTTCATCTCTTGTGATCTTGTTGAACATTCATCAACTCACTAGTCAATTGAGTTCTTTTTTTTTTCTCATGCATGCCTCTGTTTCCCTCTGATATTTAAATGAGTCTCAAATCCAACGTAATACACAGTGTGACCTTGTCATCCTCTTGCTACCCATGCACTGTGACTCCACTTTTGCTGTTGCTTTGCTGAAGTGAGAAAGTTTGGAACAAATATCCCAGTTCAGAAGAAATAAAGTGAGTATTTCTCATGGGTGTCTCATTCCTACAGTTTAAAGAAAAAAACATGTTGAGGCTTGAAATTGGAAATCAAAATCTCCATTGATTGAAATGAGCAACACATTTGTTCCTTGAGAAGGTATTTGAATAACTTGGAGAGAATAGGTGGACATAATTGTGGTAACATGCAAGTGAAAGTGAAATTTTATTTGCAATCAGAAGTCAGGTAGGTATAATCTTGGGTTGGGGTTGTCATGGACCAGCTGCCTTTGGCACTCTTAGAACATTTATGCCCAACCATTTTAGTGAGGTAGCTGGGTGCTTGTTGGGTGAAGGCAATGCAGCAAACCAAACTGGATCACCTGAAAGGAAGATGATTCAAGATATCAGCATCATCATTACTTCAGACTTGGAAGCTTCAAGCTATTTACCTATTTGGAGGCTGGTTAGACAACTGAAGCCCTGAGTATATTTTTGTGTGAGAAGGGCGATCCCCTCAGAATTCCTGGTCAACTGGAAGAGTATAAGGGCAAACTCTTCTTCTCTTTGTACCAAAGTGCCCCCCGAAAACTTGCATCTTGAAATGGCACGCTCTTTCATATTCCTGATCAGTTCCTAATAAGTGTGAAAAATATTGTCATAACTTGAATTTATTTGGAAAACTACTCTTGAACAAACGTTTACTTGCAGGAATTCCCAGTGTTATTCAACTCTTCCGCTTTGATTTTGTCATTGCCCAGGGAGGAAATGGGAGTAGTGGCTCAAAAGATTCAATAGGACTCGGGGACGTAGCCAAGGGGGGTGTCCTGGGTGTCTGGACACCCCCCGAAAAGAAGCAAGATTTCATGAAACAAGGAGTATGAGAGTGAGGGGGGGGGGGGGCACTTCGTCATCTCATGAGCCTGAAAGAGCCTCACAAGACACCCCCCGAAAATAATTCCTGGCTACGTCCCTGATAGGACTAGCACAGAATGGTACCTGAATTATAACTGCAGGAATGCCATCTGATGAGGGATGCGTTTCTTCCTGCTTCTTCCACGTCGGGACCGGAAGGGGTAGGGGTGGCGAAGGGCAAAGCTGAAATTCCTCAGATGAGCTGGATTCCTCCACCTCTGAGGGCGTCTGGGAATCCAGCCCCGGTTCTATGAGTTCATTCAAGTCCGGTTCCTCGCTGGGTCCCGTTCCCACTCCGTGCGATGACGGGCGGGGCCCCTCCCACACCAACGTCGCAAACCATCTGCATCTGTATATTATGCCATACGAATGCTTGAAGCGAGAAAGAACCGATTCCAAAAAATATATATTTGGATGATATTGGACGACAGATACGACCGCAAAGACGTTAATTATTCTCTCTTGAAACACTATTCAACTATCAGAAATCGATGAAGACGTCATATATGATTCACAGAATTCCAATGTTCTTTTTCTTTATTATCCAGAAACTTCGAACTGTTTTCCCATCCCAAGTTGAAAATGGCAGATATTTCGCAAAAATGATAACGGCATGCAGCTCTTCGAGCCGTCTCACCCGACGTCAAAGAGAGAGAGAACCCTCTCCTGTGTGACGAGCGAGAGAGGTACGGCGTCGAAACGGAAGGGCTTCTTCCGATTTCCCACCCCGTGAGTGGCGGTCGCGCCTCGAACGGCCAGCACTTTCTCCGGCTCCGCCTGGGATTCCCCAGGAGAGAAGGCGAGCAACGCGATGTCCTTCTTGAGGTTCGCCAGAAACTTCCCCTCGATGTTGACGAGGCGAAAGCGCGGTTCCTGTCCGGGTCTCGCCCGCCTCCACGTCTCCACGGTCCGCGCGTAGTCCAGATTCCCGTCGCACGGTGGCCGGGTCTCCGTCCCGGTCCACATACGAAACGCCACCCACGTCCCCCCGTTCCGGGCCGGCAGGACGCCATCGAAGTACACCTCTTCTCCGACCTTCAATCGATCGGTGAGGTTCGCATCGGACGACGGCGGCCGCCCCCGGATCCACGCCACCGTGTTTCTCACGAGGACGACCCCGTCGGACCGAAACCCGAGCGTGGCCTCGCGGGCCCGGACTCGCACCACCGTCCCTCTTCCCCCCGACACGCATCGAACGCCTCCGTTCGGGATGTGGCCGCACCGCGGAAAGCATTCGCACGCCCCCTCCGACGCGAACCGCGACACCCTGCGAGTGGGAACCCTGCGAACGAGAACGCGACACACCACGACGGCGCTGCACGCTGAGATCAGGAGCATCCCGACACAAAGGAAATACATCCGACTTCGGACCCACTCGACTCTGGGCGCGGGAGGACGGAGTCACCCTCCCCACTGAGCCCTCTTCTCCACTCGTCCCCGCGCCTTTTATCACCGAGGCCATAAAGAACGGCGGACGGATAGTGATAAGTCCACGAACCGGGACCGTACGTTAATCGCTGCCTGTAAGGCGCCGTTCGGAATAACGGGTGCCGGAAAGGTAATTTCTAAATATAGCAAGAAAATGCATTAACCCTTCTGGCGGGTTCCACGTGACGGTGACGCCCGGTGCGGTCGCGAACACTCCCACCGGCCGAGTGTGGGGTGTCGCAGTTCGGGATATCAATATATTGTCATATTTGAACGGATGATCAGATATTGCTCGAAATTTCTCCAGGGGCCTATTCCACAGAAGATTTAAAAGCTACAAGTTACAAGTGGAGTGGCTGTATTTACAAATATTTGTATTTTCTGTTCCACAGAGTTTGCGCTAGTGCTTGTAAATTGAAAAGTACAAGGCACTGGAGCCAGCTCATATTACAAGTTCAGAATGCATTCCAGAGTTCTCTATCGAGTAGCACTCGTGGAATGACACCAATAGAGGTTTCATCAATGAAAGCGTATGGATATCTCATATAACGAGCTCGAATATGCCATCTCTTGGCCTGAAGGTAGAGTCTACGTATTCCGGATAGAGTGCATTCGAATATGCCCAACAAAGTGGAGAAGCTGTTCGAGTCCATTGGTAGTACAACAGACAGAGTCCACTCTTACATTCAAGGTTAATTCTATCATAGAGGGCGCCAAGAAAAGTTGCTATGATAATTATTGTAGTCAGGTATTTCATTTCCTGCGGCGCTGGATTTTATTCTTTCAAGTTTTTTGTGACGTAATCACATAAGCCCAACTCTACTGTATTGTACCACATTAGAACTATGTCTATATTGTCCTATGCAATGGTCACAACAAGTAAATCCATCGTCTCCGCTAGACACAGGAATGCAGAAAATACATTTACCAAGCATGAAAGTCTTGTAGAAATTAGAGCTACAAGTACAAGTCTACAGACTTGTACTTGTAAAACGTCTGACTCTGTGGAACAGAATCCATTTTCCCAAACTCAATTCGCTTGTAAATGGATGAACTTGTACTTGTAAATCTTCTTTGTACAATTTTCTTTTGTGGAACAGAAACTTGATTCTACAAGTAATAGACTTGTAACTTGTAGCTTGTAAATCTATTGTGGAATGGGCCCCAGATGTTAGCAGTGGCAGCTCGTGATATTTAGCGCTAGTGGTTCATCTATGTAGGCAGCGACTTCCTCTGCCTACCCCCTCTCCATAGACGAACCACTAGCGCTAAATATCGCGAGCCGCCACTGGATGTTAGGTATGTACAAACGTTTTCTGTAGTTCTTTCTAAGTTTCAGTCGATTTGGTGCCTTAGCTCTTCAGATAACGCTGGGAAAGCTGAGTCGATCGATCGTGCACAGTTCTAACAGGCACAAGGTATGTTTCCCGAATTTAACAATCGGGCACGTAAGGGAAATGCACACTGATCAATATGGAATCATTTATGACTTCCACAAGGCTTCCACGGTTTTCAACCTCATGGAATCGACGCCGAACCTGGATGATAACGTTAAACTGTTCGAACCAAGGCAGTTTTTTTTTTTTTAGCATCGCAGGTTCAGAAACGCGTTGCAGACGACCGAGTAGAATTTTTATTATTATGGGATACTGCATCATCTTACGCAAATTTCTGAATTGAGATTTCGGAAGATTACGCCACATTTGAGAGGCTATCCAGAGAAAAGTATCAAATTTACCATACTTTGCTTTAAACATTTTTTTAAAGCCTCATCTCAAGAATCACTGTACAGAATCGACAGAAAATTTCTTGCTGAAAACTTATAGGCATACTCCATGTAGAGTAAAACCAGAAAAGTTTGGACAGTACCTAAGTTCGTAGGTAGTTTTACCCTGTTGTGAATATTTCAGAAAGTTCTGATTCTCGGCGAAATTTTATGTAGCATAAAAATATCGGAATGTTAATTGGGATATCCTGTTCTTGGCTGGGGGCTTCTATTCCTTAGGACAGTGTGTGTACTTTATGAACAATTGTCTTATTTATATGTTCAGAAGCAATTGAAATAAAATTTGCGAAAGAGGTTACGCTGTCGCGCGAAGCTGCAAAAAATATTCCCGCCACTGGGAATGTTCTCTCCTTTTAAGAGACTGTCCTGTGCATTAAAAAAAAAATACATTTAAACGTATGTGGTCGATACACGAAGCTGGAACGAGCATAGATCGTTCTAGTAACGGTTTGACTTTAGAATGAAATGAAAATGCTTCAGTTGGATTTTCTCGTGTTCCGTGCAACAGAAATACAGCTTGTAACAACTCACACGGCCACACATACTTCAGTATGACAAATTGTATGAGGCTAAGGCTAAAGCACCTCTACTTGCTACTTAAAGAATTCTCATCTTAGATTCCATACTTTGGAAAAATGCTTTTGATTTTTGTACCAGTGGCAAATGAGTGTAAAATAAGTCTCTCAACATCCAGCAATATTTAGCACGAGACGACTGAAGCGTCCTCTTCGTGGGCAAGGCGATGGGGCGGGGGCTCGGAGGCTCTTTGCGAAAGCCGCATCGAGCAGTCACTCCAAAACCTCCTCCGAAGAGGGCTGGTTCCCATAACGAAAAATCGAGTGGATAAATTACACGAGAGTTTCTAGAAAATGAACGCAGACAACCGGAGGGCCAAACGCGACTCTACGCAAGAACGCCAGGATGAACGCAGCAGAGCCGGATCCGCGTAGAGAACGGTCGCCATCGGAGATGTTTTTCTAACAAAGGCACGGAGAGGACACTAAATCTATTTACAGATTTCGGTCCTGATCTTTCCCTTATTTTTTCTGCGATCCATCAGTGCAGAGGGAGGAAGACTTCTAAATGAGTGAACTCATGGGAGTAGCTCAGAGGAGCGTGCAACGAGTATTCCCAGAGGAGAAGGCAGGGCCGTTTCTAGGGGCGGGCGAAGCGGGCGATCGCCCGGGGCGCCAGCGGGGTAAAGGGGGAGGAGGGGCGCCAGCAGGGTAAAAGGGGAGGGGGGGCGCCATTGGAACTGTTTGCCCTGGGCGCCAACATCCCCAGAAACGGCCCTGGTCTTAAGGTCGCCAAGTGAATGCCTTTAATTATCTGATATGTATAAATATATATAAATGAGAAATTATTAAGCAATGACCTGGGTAGCTTTTTCGCATTTTCATCTCGGGTGGTTTTTTTCCGTCTTTGCCAATTCTGGGGGTCTTATTTCCTGGTGGCTTTTTTCCTAAAACCCTTTTTTCCGAATCCCGGAGGGGACAGGCAACCGGGAAGGGGCGAGCCTAAGACCCTCGGACTCTTGCTATTGTTAAGAGACTTCCCGGAGGGAATCTTCTTGCCCCTGGCTCTTCATGACTTGCCCTGGGGGGAAGAGGGGGAGGAGGGAAACTTCCTCCCGAACATTGGGTCCTTCGCTGGAAGAGTAAAAAAGATCGTGCTTCTGAAGCCAAGGCTTTAGCTGGGGTCGAGTTAAAAAAAATCGGCCAGTGCGGTTCTCCGCTGGGCAGACGGTCTAACACAAATGCCAACTGTTATAATAAAGACACCACCTTCTTCCGTTAGCTCGTCATGCCAACTGAGATGTTCAGACACGTATGTTTATAATGTGTCGAATGTCAACCGTCAACCGTTGGACTTACAAACTGATGAGGGCTTACGACTACTAAGCGATAAACAAAGAATTAGATTACTGTTGAGTTTAAACCATGTTAATTGTTTTTTTTTTTTTTCATTGTGAAAATTCAGCCATTAGACTTTTTACTGGAATATCATCTGTATTCAACATTTTATATCTGCCTTGCCTCCGACCCCCCTGACCGCCCTTTGAGAACCACATTCCGAGAGGCAATAAACGACCCTCATTAAGGAGGGGTTTGAGCCCTTTAACTTGACTGGAGATGTGCCCGTCATGTATACGTATCCCATTTCCACTTCTTATTCCTGATGAGTGCTTTGATTTTACCCGTAAACCAGACCGGTTGTCTGGCCGATTTCATGGACTTCTTGGGGATGCATTCCTACTTTATGGAGGAATGCATCCCCAAGAAGAAGGCTTTATGGAATAACATCTTGAACGCCCCCCATTGTTCCTCTACCGTCAGTAAATGTTTACATTGTAATTTTGTTCATTAAGAGATTCAATCATTACGAGGAAACAGCTTTGGGAGATCGCCTTCATTGTTCTTCCAAAGACCTAATGCGAAATGTAGGCGTAGATATATCAGCACTGAGATGACACCGTTTTACTGGTTCCTTGTTAGTTTGTGCTGGTGATCGAAGACGGTGTTGGGAGAAGCCTCTCATTGCAACTGGGCGATAACACCAACACAACACCTGCACCTGATTTGAACTCACTTAATGTACGCGGAACATTCCAATTCAAACCTTGAATCTTAAGTCAGGTGAGGTTGGAGTATCGCATGTAACGTAAGCAACACTGCTACTTTTCTTACCGTGCGGGAGTATGGGCGCTATCGGGCATGGGACGACGCCGTAGTGTGGAGGGAGCGGCTCCACTCGACCTAGGTTGGGCGGAGCTGGCATCTGGAGCTTGTGATTGTGTGTCCACGCGTCACGTCAATCGAGGCCTAGTGTAGTCAATTTCTGTAGGACTAGTCGCGTACCATCAGTGGTCTTATAAATGTATGAATATTTTCTTTTGGCGTAGGCCTTTACTAAGCTGTTTAAAATCGACTATAGTAAACTGCAAAGTTTTCTTTTAGCTGCAGTTATCTATTCTCTATCGCCGAGGCCCGACATGTCTGGACGTGAAGGTAAGTGGTATTTGACCCGTTTGGTGTCGTTTATCTTTTTGCAAATTTATTTATGCTGAATTGATGTTACACATGAGGATAATTCTGTGGTACTTCATTAATTTACTTGATCTTGTGACATGCAAGAACCACATAAATATCATGCAGCTGGACAATATGCAAAGCAATGAAAAATAAACAGTTAATAATTGAACTCTTGCAAATATTATGTATAGTAATTACGCGAAAGTCGAGCCCGTTTCCTTAGTACAATGACGTGCTTCACAAGAGAGGCTCCATACTGAACGAATGCTTCATGCAGGGTCGTGAGTGTGTTTATTTGTAAAAGTTTGATTGTGATCTACAATATCAGCTTGAAAGCATCATTAGTAATGATATCGCAAGAAGCATTGAAATGCAATAATATATTTGGACGCATGAATCGAACCAACGGCGCAAAAGCCAACCCTGCTGTTCCTCAAAGTCGGGCCTGTGATCTTGCTTCCTAGCCTCACTAAGCATCCACCACCAGGCGTGAAGGTCTTAGCAAGCCTCTTTACGCGCACGCCGCTTGCCGTGTTGGTTTGCAGAGCCAGGAACGACAGATTTTGGACAGACTGCATATTCCCAGCATAATTGCCTGAGAAGTACCTCCAGGAGGGAGGTTCAAAGAGGGGACTAGCTGGATGTTGCTTGACAGTCAAACTTGATTAGAATATCCATGGCCTTTGATGTAGATCTTAGGCTGACCATGGAAAGATAGATGTACGGTTAGCACAACCAGAGACGTGCTGTTGTACATATGAATGCAGAATTCCTGACCTTAGGCATGTGCTTCACTTGCTTATGCCTACAACTAGGGATCGACTTTCAGAGACCCTCACCGTGATTCGGTCCAGAAAACCGACCCTCTAAACTATCGAATTCCAAGAACATAATGATGTAACCATTTCTTACAGCATACTCTTCAATTACCTTAGAACACTATATTTATGACCATTGATGCTTAGAGCCACCAGTAAGTACCACAGCATAATATATACCAGGGACATTCATAACCATGATCTCAGCCTGCCTCACTTACAGTAAGAACGATGTAACTTAAGGAGATAGTTTCCGGTTGACTATAAGGATTAACAACGATGCATTCTCTGTGAGACACATTTTAAGCTTCGCTTAAAACATGGATTTGAAGACAAAGACACAGAGGGCAGCATGTCATTATAACGGTGAGGATTGTGAATTGAACTGGAATTCTGTCCAAATTCGTGCACGGGTTGACTTTCACGTGCTTCTGTTATCCTTCCTTTTATCACTTTGCATGATGGTGGCTTGTGCTTATTGCTGTTGGTTAAGCACATAGTGATACCAACTAATTGCAGGATGTCTCCTAAGATGTGACTGACAGATTCAATTTTTCTTGTACTGTTACCCTTCTTTGGTGTGGATATCAGTGGCAACGTTCAGCTGGTGTACTCATGCCAGAAAAAAACTGCTTGATGTTTATTTATGCATTCCTCTATACCCTTCTGCAAAGTAGGTAAACTGTCACTCTACCAAATTGATCAAAAGACAAACATTTGAAATAGTTGTGCAGGGTAGGCTGCAGGTTGGAAGAAACATGGTGCCTTACCAGGCAGCTGTGTGCCTGTCATCTTGCACTATCTTCCACTTCTGTATGTGACCCTGCTTTAATTGATGCTTGGAACTGCTTGATGACAAAAAAATAATTACCTAAGGAAACCTTCACACTCACTGTTTAAATCCCATCACTTTATTACCCTTTTTATGCCTGATGATGGAATGCAATTCTCTGACACAAATATTCCAGAATCACAAATAAATCACCATTATTATTATTATTATTATTATTATAAACAGTAAAATAGTTTTGGTTCTCAATTTAATAAAGAAAAAGTGGTTCATATATATATATATATTTTTTTTTTTTTTTCACCTGATGTTCTTGTGTTTTGTAAGATTTTGTGATATTTTTTGGTGCACTGCACTTGCATCTCCTAGATATGGCACACAAAGTAGCATGTGTATCATCCCTCATTAGGTATACATTCCATATGAAAGCTGGTGTCATCTGTTGGAGAATGAGCCTATCACTACCTGAACATTGCTTCCTGGGTTTCACTTGGAAGCTGAGACATGTTCAGAATGGGAGAGAGCTGTAGAATGAGGAATGTGTGCAGGCCATCTGATTTTTAATAATGCCTCTAGGCAGGTGGAAGAGATTAGAAATACAGCAGGAGGGGCATCGTACAAACAGATATGCCAAATTGCATGGATTTCATAATGTGTGACTTTTAGCTCTTGCCTTGAACCTAAATCCTGTTGCCTTTGCTTCACTGTCACTCTTTCCCTACCCCTTCCTCATCAAGCAGAATAGTACACCTCCAATTTAGAGGACAGATGGCCTAGGTATAGAACTGCCTGTGATCCAAAATTGTGTGCATGAGCCAGTGCCATCAAGAATTCTCTCTAATGAGAAATTCAGAATTCATATTCTGCTATAAGCATATGCTATAGCAGATTTCCCCCTTATTTTTGCTCTATAGCTGATAGCTTGAGTGCTCCAGTAAACCAAGGTCTTGATATCATGACAGCTGAAAAACATGTGTTTTCCTTACATGCTATGAGAAAATGTAGATTTTTAGCATTTTTTGATCTAACAAGAACTCTGAAGTTTTGATATCTATTTTCCCTCCTTGCATCCCAATCAGGTTAATTTATATGAACTCAATTTATGTATCCAGTGAAGAATGAATTATATGTCATTTCACATAGGTTTATTTTTATATATACAAGGTGTTCGTATTTAAACGTAACATGAAATGTTTGCCACCTGTTTGTGGAGTTCAGCGTGTGCCTATTAGGTCACCAGATTGCATATCTGGAAGGATGTAATCTATCACTGGTGTGTTTCCTTGCAGATAGGCAACCTGGTGGGCCTCAGCGTTTGCTGACCTCTACCTACAGGTGGCAAATTAATCCCTATGTTGCAGGAGTCAGGAGTCAGGAGAGTTAGTGATATCAAGAGGCGATTTCGCCCATTTCGATATCACGTGTCGAGGTCGAGCGTTCCTTAATTTTAGGGTAGGCCTAACCCTCTTAAAGCTATATATTTTTGTATTTTTGTT